GGGCTCAGGGCTTACGGCTTAGGGTTGAAACTTGGTGGCGGCCGTCAGCTCCCGACTCCGAAGCCTCAGGAAAAAAAGAAGAGCCTTACTTAGGTTTAGGGTTTAGGGTTTAGGGTTTAGGGTTTAGGGTTTAGGGTTTAGGGTGAAGGTGCTTGAAACAACTAATGGGAGCTAGGATTAGGGGGACCTGGAGATATAGACCCTCTCAATAAGGTCCCTTTTAAGAGAGCCAAAAGTAGGGTTCAGAAGGGGTACCCTTTAAGGGGTACCCCTAATAATACTACCTAACTAAGGGGCCCTGTGGAAGGATTTTGAGTTTTTTGAGTCCTCTTTGAGGTGAAAGCAACGCGCTTTTAAAACGCATGGAACCTAAACCCCTGCAACCCAAACCCTATCCCAAACCCCATAAACAGCACTCCCACACAACACCGGGTCTAAAAAGGCTTTGGCAGCTATATACATATACATATATCATAAAATGTGCTTATATATATATACACACACACACACCCGGCTCTCAAAACCGGACCTTGAACCCTTGCCCTGACAACCCAAACCCCCATACTGCCATCCCAGGAGACCTGAACGGCCCCAAAAAACCTGCTGAACACCAGCACCACCCAAGTACCCTTTAACGGAGCCCTTATGGTTCTAAATAGTGGGTATTTAGGGTATAATAGAGGGTAGTAGGGGGGTGCTAAACAGAACCCTTACAAAACCTTAGAACCCCTTTCGCCCTGCTATGGTGATCCCCGTACATCCCTAAGAAACCTAAACCCTCAAGCCTAAACCCCAAACCCTGAAACCTAAACCCCAAACCCCAAACCATACACTCCAAACCCTAAACCCTAAAGCCTATACCCCGAAACCTAAACCCCAAACCCTAAACCCCAAACCATAAACCCAAAACCCCAAAGCCCGAAACCCCAAACCCTAAACCCCAAACCCAAAGCCCTAAACCCTAAAACCCAAAGCCCTACTTTCCTGTGGCTTCCGGGCTCTGCGAGGCCGAGGTTGGAAGCTTCGGCTTCGAGATCTGATCCTTGGCCTCCCCTCTTTGGGGCCTCCCAGGCGAGCTTTGGGTGTCTAAGGTTTAGTGGTTTAGGGGTTTATGGTTTAGGGTTTAGGGGTTACCAGTACCACCCAAGTACCCTTTAACAGAGCCCTTATGGTTCTTAATAGTGGGTATTTAGGGTATAATAGAGGGTAGTTGGGGGGTGCTGGTAGGGATTGGGGTTGAGGGTTTAGGGTTTAGGGTTTAGGGATTCGGGCTTCTATGCAGGAACTAGGGGTTAGGGATTGGGGCTGTGGGTTGAGGGATGAGGGTTTAGGGATTCGGGTTTATATGCAGGAACTAGGGCTGACAGTTCAGGGGTGAGGGTTTAGGTTTATGGATTGGGGTTTAGGGATTCGGGTTTAATAGGACCTCGGGATGACAGTTCAGGGATTAGGGCTTAGGGTCTAGGGTTAGGGTTCAGCATTTAAGGGCATGGGGGGTTTGGGGTTTGTGGCTTTAGTGCTTAAAAGGTTTGTACGGGTCTAACCATCTAATGAGGCTTGAGGAAGCTAGTCTTTCGGAAGCTTCGCTACATAGAGGTCCCTTTCAGGGTTCTATTCGCTGTTGTTGGGGGTTTGGGTCGAGCTTGAAAAAGCTTGGAGCTTCGGGTTTAGGGTTGAGATGGGCTTGCGGACACAGAACCTATGCGCTTCCATGGAGTTCCTTATCGTGGGGATTTGATGCAAGGGTTTTCGAAGGAATTTCGCTTTGGGGTCTAGGCCTGTGGTTCGGGTCCTGCAACAGGGAACTAAGATGGAAGGTCTGCGCAAGCTGCAGACGGAAGCCCCAGCAACAGCAAGGACCGAGAAGAAAGGAGGTCCGTGGGGGAAAAAAATGCCAATCGCATAGACCCTCAAATTTCCTAAGATATCTCAGAGCTTAACCCTAAACCCCTAAACCCTAAACACAAAGCCCTAAACCCTAAACCCCTAAACCGGAAAAAACTAAACCTCCAAACCCACAACCCCTAAACCCAACAACCCTGAACCCTAAACCCTAAACCCTGAACCCCTAAACCGCACAAACTAAACCTCCAAACCCTCAACCCCTAAACCCTAAACCCTAAACCCTAAACCCCTAAACCTCTTTTCAAAAGCAAGCCAACATCCCGGCGCCTCTTTGGAGTCGCCAATGGGATCCGCGGCACCTGCAGCTGATCTGTGGGGTCTAGGGTTTAGGGGTTGAGGGTTTAGGTTTTAGGGGTTTAGGGTTTAGGGATAAGGGTTTAGGGTTTAGGGTTTAGGTTTTAGGGGTTTAGGGTTTAGGGTTTAGGGTTTAGGGGTTTAGGGGTTTATGGGTAGAGGGGTTTAGGGTTTAGAGGTTTAGGTTTTTGGGTGCAGGGTTTAAGTTCTAGGGTGCAGGGTTTCGGGTTTGGGGCTTAGGCTTCAGGTTTAGGGTTTAGGGCTCGGGGTTTAGGCTTTAGGTTTTAGGGTTCAGGGTTGAGGTTTTATGCTTTCGGTTTATAGGTCTTAGGGTTTAGGGTTTATGTTTTGGAGCCTATAGGGTTTGGGGTCTGTTGGGGCCTGAATACCCAGATCCCCGGAAGAATCCAACAAGTCCTTCAGGGGGTTCCGATGAAGTACCGTAAGAGTACCCCAAACCCCTAAACCCTAAAGCCCAAACATTAGAAGTAAAGTTTCCCAAAACAGGAGCTTTTTTTTAGATCCTTCCTGGGTCTCTGAAATTGCCTATTCCTTAGGGTACGTTGTTAACCATCATTGTATGGGGGCCTGAATAAATACCAACAGTAAACCCTAAACCCTAAACCCTAAACTACATTCTACCCCAATGCCCCTGAGGCCCCCAATGTTATCTAGAAGGGGGGGGGGGGGGTTCGGAATGGATTCCGTCTTCCAGGAATCCAAAACAACTTTGAACGGAACCGCTTGAACCCAAAGCCCCTATCTGAAAGTCTCCTGCCGGCAAGATGCCTTACTTGCGCCGTGGTTGTGCTTGTTTAGGGTTCAGGGTATAGGGTTTAGGGTTTAGGGTGTTAGATCCTTGAAAGGCCGGAGGTGTTGGAGCAGGGCCTTCGGGTGCCATAGCGATGGAAAGGCTGCTTGAACCCAAGGCCTTCCAAGAGCCCTGAAATGCCCCGAGGCCTTTTAACAGAAACCGTAAAACAAGAACAAAGAGTTTAGGGTTTAGGGTTTAAGCACCGAAGGTTTAGGGGTTGGGGCCTTTAGGACTTTTGGGTACTAAAAAACCTGAAGCACAGAGATCGAACAACAACGCTCAACCCCTTCGACAAAGCTGTGTAACACTGCCTTAGCCTGTAATCTGTATCCTTTGCCGTGACCTAGAGTTTAGGGTTTCGGGCTTTAGGGTTTAGGGCTTGGGGTTTAGGGGGTTTAGGGGGTTTAGGGGGTTTAGGGGGTTTAGGGTTTAGGGTTTAGGCTGTGGGGTTTAGGGGTTTAGGGGGTTCATATAAGGGGTTTAGGGTTTAGGGTGTAGGGTTTGGGGTTTAGGGGGTTAACCCTAAACGAAAAAGCCAACAC